CATATTGAGCAATGTTCCAATTTTTGCATGCACTTTTGTTGTGTAAAAGCGTTTGTAATTCTGTACAAGCAAGAAGACGTAAACTTTGCAAAAAAAAGTCAATGTTATGTCGATAAAGTTTTCATGACCGGCATCCCCTTAAGGATGTGCGATTTATGAACTTGTGCATCGCGATGCTATCTTCTTTAAGAATTGCAATAAATGCGATATTACGTATCACAATTTTGTATTGCAAATATGATTTTAAATCGCGCGTATTTTTGTATTGTAAGTACAGTTTTTAATATCGTGCGTGATTTTATATCGCTAATGTAATTTTTAATCATAAAGGAATCTGGGGCATGAGATGCGAACTATGTTTAAATAAATTTTATGCATAAAATATATAAAAAATAAATAAATCAACTTTTCCTTCTCGTACCACATCAAAATATTGTTTGAAATGTTCACTATAAAAAAATACGTTTTACATTGAAATAATATTAATAATGTTTTCTTAAAAACATCATTTAACCTCATTACGCTTTCTACGCGGGACAAAATGGGAGACTTTTTATAAAACTTGTTTATTTGCAAATCATCAATTTTCAATCATTAATTTTTAAAAGTAACTGATTAAGTCATACAATATACAAGAATGTGTTATTTTACGTTTAATTAATTATAATTATTTATTGATAACATTTTTCTCATAAAACAATAAATCTTTATTACCATTTTTTTATTGAAATATTAATTACGATATTGTAGCAATCTCTTGTAATCTTCTAAAACATAAAAAAAAATATATATAAAATATATATATATATATATATATATATATATATATATATATATATATATAAAGAAATAATGCAACTTAACATTTTAAAATGTTAAGTTGCATAATGACATAATCCTATTAAAAAATGTACTAAATGTATAAATATATAAATTTGGATTTGATAGAATAAAATATTATAGATTATCTCGCGATATTTGCATAATACTTAACTAAAATGACGAATAATTTTGAATGCAGATGCGATTTTGCGATAAAGGTCCAATTGTGTATCACATTGTGATTCAAGAAAAGTGCTTGCGTTACATAACGACAGCAAAACAATCTTTTAACTAAGTTCGAGTCAACCATTAAGATTTAAGTTGATATTACCAAGTTATTTCTTTGTGCATGTACGGTTCGAGGAAATTGTTGTCTACGAGAAATCCGCGTGAATCAATTCCGAAATCATCGTGGAGATATGCGTGGAGATATGCGTTCACGCCGTTTTTTTACAAGTGACTTCTCATTTTCATGATACGTCGCGATTAACTATCATTCGTGAAAGAGAGCGCGTGACTGATCGAAGAGGTACTTTTCTACGCTCCGCTAAGTACCGTAATTGACTGAAGCTTCGATAATCTACGAGCTGAACTGATGGTGAGGTGTGTTTCACGCGTGAGAAGAGAATCACTTTTATCTCGGCTTCATTACGTGCAATTAATCGAACGGTGAACGAGTGGGAAATAGCAAGAAAGTAAAACGTAGTTATACATTGACGAAGAACAATAAGAGTCAATTGCAAATCTAATTTGCGTTTCTTTGATCAAATATCATGTATACGCAGGTATAAGCTATTTTATTATCTAAACGTCTGAATCATAAGTTGTGATCATCCTTAGCTGATTACAAATTATGCGTGTATATACACAGAAAAAAGAACATTCTTGTTTTGAAAACATTTTTACTTTTTACATATAAATTTTGAAATAAGATTGCATGGCATTAAATGAAGATAAACTACTTGCATCAATACCCACACAGCAGAGGTGTTCAAAATATATCATAAAGATATCTTAAAGATATATTTGGGATATGCGATTATTTCAAGATATCCCTATGATGCATTTGGGACATTTCTGCTGTGTGGATACATTTTATATGATGCAACAAAAAAATATATTCTTATTATTAAAAAATAATTTTCATTGAATAAAAAGCACAAAATACTTGGATCGAGAATATGTTTTTAAATATTGGAAAAAGATATCATTATCCTCAAAATAATCATATTGTACCTCAAGATTATTATACTATTCAAGTAAAATTATAGAATTGTTGAAATTTATGACTTTAAAATTCTTTTAACAAGATTATATATCGTTGTTTATACGTGAAACAATAATTATTAATTTAAATTCATTAGTTTTAAGTAGATGTTTATTTCTTTGTATGTGCACGGAAAAAAAAATGTGATTGAAGTAACTTGTAATAAACCAACAAAACGCGAAGGAATGAATTTTGATTGAAACAGAACCCCTTATTTCTATGAATTAAATTTGGTGTTCTAAGAATCCCAGGAATTGTTTTTTCAACCAAAACGTATTTATTTTGTTCATTATCAACTAAAAACTTTGTTCTCCATATAGTATATGAAAGACATATAGTATAGTATTTCAAATAAACGCGTGTATAGTATGTTTGAAGTAAATAAAAATTAGACTTTCAATTGATTCTTTACCGTTGCACAATTTCATTTTTATCAAAGGGCCTTATAATCATTTAAAGAAATAATTTTTATTATAGAAGAGAAATATTAAAGAGAAAGTAAAACTCGCACACATATTCAGAGAAAAAACATAGTGAGAATTATATGAAGTTTGTATGTAGAATTTCATAATTTAATAAACTATTTTGTAATTATTGCAACTAAAGTTGTATGATTATGAGAACTATATAGTATGTATACTGAAAAAATATTGTAATAACGAATACAATAAAATTTTTTGTATTCTTAGACCATATAGAATTATGACTGAAATTACTATATATTTGTTTAAAGATGTTACGTGTGTTTGACTTGTTGCTACAAAATTATTGTAATTACTTAAATGTTTTTTGTGTCATATATGCCAGATCGTCAAATTTATTATTTCTACAGTAATATATATATATATATATATATATATATATATATATATATATATATATATAT